GCAACGAAGCAGAACACAGGCGATATGTCAGGGAGTAAAACGCAGTCTGGCGGCCAGAAACATCTACCCAAATATTTACATCTTCTATTACTGTTTATACATCACCAGTGTGGATCTCTCGATCTGCTACTTGTTTTTGGAGAACATCCACTTTCCCCATCGGGCCACACTCCAGAGAAAGTGAACAAACAGCTACGCCACTTTCTCTTTGTGTTTGGTTCTGAGGCAGAGGTAATTTTTAAAAGGACACCTATTAATTCTGCGCTTATCTGATATGAACCGAGACATTTACGAGGATGATTAACTGGAGTGTCACCGGGATAAACAAGCGCTGTCACGCACACGCTCAGAGCCCCACAGATAGAGATCTCAGTTGCACATGTGCAGACTCACTTCGCAGCATCACTTTGCCAAACACTGTGTGGTCTCGGTCCATGGTGCTGCAGTTCCAGCGGTGGTGTCTGAACTGGTGCTGACACTCTGTGATCCACTCCTTAGCTCCGTTGCCGATGACCTGCATCAGGTCTGGATGTCGTTGGCAGAGCTGCCGTTGGTCGTTCACTAGGCCGGGAATGTTGTCGCAGATCACTCGAGTGCCGAGAGCTCCAATGTACCTGTAGACAAACGTTAAAACCTTAAATACTTGTGGGTCAAATCAGCACAGTGTATATGGCTGGGTTGTCCCAATACAGAGAAATGCATACAGACAGTAAGGATAATAAATCATATATATATATATATATATATAATTTTTCCCTCTCTGTTACCACAGATAGTTGAACAGAAAGTGACCAGAGTTTTTACACCAATAACTCATTTCAATTGACAACACTTTCTCCTGCTTTCAGGTAATCAAAGTATCAATTATATGGAGTAGCACTTTCCATGTTTCAAGGAACGCAATAAGAAACAATGTTGGTTAATTGTCTAAAAGTCTAAACAAAACGTGGATACCCATAGTGGTATTGGTGCATCTCTAAGATATGGGATATTTTATTTGGAGAGAGGAGTGAAAATGTACATTTATTTAATTCATACTAAAATTATTAACTTGGAAGGGTTTACGGAATGTTTTGTCCCAACGTTAATGGACAGGGTTCAGCCGCAGGCCCCGGGGGCCTTGGTACCT